GCACGGCCACCACCACCCCTGCCCACTGCCCGCCCAGCCAGTCCTGCTCCCCTGGGCCAGCCCGGCCCCAGGGTGCCCCCAGCCGTGCCCCAACCTCCCTCAGCCACCCCTAGGCAGGGCCACCCCTGTGGAGCCATACTGCCAGCCCCGCATTGCCCTTGTGCTGGGGTGCTCTCTCTGCCGGGAGCACCCTGGGACACGTGTCCCTGCACAGCCAGCCCCAGCGTGCTGTCCCCTCCTGAGGGTCCCTGCTCCCCGGTGGCTGCAGCCCATGCCTGGCACTGATGCACCCCAAAAGCCAGGAGTCCCAGGAGCCTGGGATGGGGCTGGGACAGGACAAACAGCTGGGGGGACCAGGAGGACAGGAGGGAGCCCACCCAGGCCTGGGACATGCATCTCTGCCCACAGCAGCACCCAAAGCTGCGGCGGGAGAGGGAGCGGGGACACAACAGGAAGAGGTGACCAGGACCCTGCTCAGCATCTCATTTCCCGGGAGCCTCCTGCTCCCCTGGCTCAGAGCTGCTCTGTGCTACAGCCAGGCACAGGTCCCTGGGGAGGGCCCAGAGTGGCGAGGGGGCACCCCCAGGGGATGTCCTCTTACCATGCCACCCTGGCTGGCTGTCCTCAAGGTCCCCACCGTGGAGGGGGCAGCCCCTATGGCCCCGCTTCTGGTCCCACTGCCATGCCAGGTGACACGGGCAGTGGCACAGCCAGCTCTCCAGAGTGACAGGCGCAAGTGTCAGTCCCCCAGCCGGCTGCGCTGGCACAGAATGGGGACACGGGCACCAGAGCAGCCTGCGCAGACAGGACACAGGGAAGGGTGCCAGCTCCAGCTGCCCTGGGGCCATTTCCTTCCCCAGGGTACAGCCCAGATCTACCTCCCCTGGCTATGTCTCCCCCCCAGCCCTGCGACAGCCTGGGTGGGGAAGGGTTAAGGAAGCAATGGGAGTGCAGCAGGGACCCCTGCAGAGCAGAGGCACAGTCTCAGCTCAGGGACAAGGCTGCCAGGACACCTGGCAGGGTGGCAGCAGGGGATGGACACCCCTCTCCTGGGGCCAGCCCTGCTCCCCCCAGCATGGCCATGCTGCCAAGAGGTGACTCAGTGGCTCTAATGAAGGCGTCATGACAGACAGGGGGGGCCAGGCCAGCAGGCAGCAATCCCCTTGCTCCCCTCGCTGCCCTCCAGCCCCGCCAGCCCCCTCACCTTCATCTGGTGGGGTTCCAGCTGGCGCAGGGTGCTCGGCACCCCCAGCACCTTCCTGGGAGGGACTATGGGTGCTGGGGGCTGGACCGGCCTGGGGGACAGGGAGGACTGAGAGCCAGGAACTGGTCCGTGGCCAGAAGCAGGACAGCACCAGTGCTGGCAGTGCCACGGGGACAGCCTGGGGACACTGCATACCCGTGGAGCAAGGTGTGCTCAGCATCCTGCACACTGGCAGCTCCATCCCGCACACGCAGGCTCCCTCTGCCTCCACCTCCCTGCTCTGGCTCCCAGACCTCACCGGTCCCAGCCCAGCTCCCATGGCAATTAGCTGATCTCCCCAGCTGCCCTGCCCCGGCCCATCCATCACGGATTAGCTATTTTCTATCAGCATTTATCTCCAGGCAATCTCACTCCTCCTGTGACAGCCCGATGCCTCCAGCACCCTCCCTCCTGCTACCGGGCAGCCCTGATAAAGGGCCACTCTATCTTATCATGCTCCCCAGCAGTTACACATTAATGGTGCCATCTCCATGGCTTGGCCAGGGCGGGATGAACTCAGCCCACCCTCAGTTCAGCAGCAAGCATCCCTGGGTGATACAGTGACGGGCGCTGCGCCCAGCACGGAGGGCATGGGGAGGGCAGGCAGGCTGCAGGCAAGTGCAGGCCATGCAGATGAGGTTCCCAGCACAGCCCCAAAGCAGATGGATCCCACTGGGGCTGGGGGGACAGTCCCTGCCCTCAGCCCGGGGCAAAGGGCAGCTGCTATCGCTTGCCTGCACCAGGCTGTTTGTTCTGTCGCCCATTAACAGAGCCGCCTTATCCGGCAGGCAGGGGCCGGAGGCGGCCCAGAGCCCGTTGGCCAGGCAGGGGCATTGATCGTAGGAAGGGAAGGGGGTGCCCCAGATAACCCCTGCAGACAAATGGGTTTCTAATGGGGTCTTGAGCCTTGCACCCCCTGGCCCAGCCCATCTCCAAGAGGATGGGGGAATGTGGCCCTTGCAGGACTCGCAGCGCTGCCCTCTCTCACCCTGCTTGGGCTCTGGCTCTGCCTGTGCCCTGGGCACCGGCAGCACCTGCGTGCAAGCCCTTTGCCAGGAGGTGTAACCCCAGCTACGCCTGTGCCGAGCAGACCGTGGGTTGCCTGGGATGCATGCTGGCAGGACCATCCATGAGGAATAAGGACCCCATGCTCATGGCATCAGCTTGGCATCGATGCCACGCATGGCTCCTGGCAGGGGGGCAGCCCAGCTGCCCCCAGTGCTGCAGCATGAAGCCTCTGGGGTGCCCTGCTCCTCCATCCCCTGCACCCCAAGCACCCCCAAACCCATACCCCATGGGGCACAGGAGACCCTGGGAGGCATAGGGTAGGAATCCCCTGCCCCATGCCAAGGCGTGCTTGTGGGGTGCCAGGCAGGACAGGGGCAGAGGGTCTGGTGGATAATGGGGGCACCCTGCACCAACAACATATCCCAATGGGGCAGGCAAGCCAGCCCTTCCAGAGGGCATCGCCCCAGGGGCACACGGAGCCAGGGTGGGCTGGGGCGACTGCATGCAGGGGGCTCCCTGGGAGGGCGAGGGGCATGGAGCACCGTGCACCCACCCGGCTGCCCCAGGAGGGAGGGCTGGGGCAGCAGGGTGGGAGGGCAAGCGGCA